GACCATCTCCATAAACACGAAACTTTTCAATGCATGAAAGCTAATATTCACAACAAAAGCTTCAGAAAGACTGGTTTCTAGGACTTGGCGTATAGCTAACTAAATTCTGAATGCAAGGCCAGGCACAATGGCTCACACCTATAATCCTAGCATTCCGAGAAGCTGAGGCAGGAGTCCAAGACCAGCCTGAGCAAGAGGGAAACACGTGTTTGCTAGGAACAGAAAAACTATCTGGGCCTGGTGGCAGGTGCCTGCAGCTCCAGCTACACAGGTGGGCAGGAAGATCCCTTCAGCCCAGGAGTTTGAGGTTGCTGGGAGCTATGGTAACACCACTGCACTCTACCTAGGGCCACAGAGTGAAATTCTGTCTCAAACAACAACAACAAAAAGAATGTAAAGAATTTATGATTTTACATCAACAAAAAAATGGCAAATAAATCCCCCACTCTAAAATGGATGCTCATAAACGTGAATGAATCTCCATCCAATTTGCAAAACTTTTAAGTCATGTCTGTAGGTGACATTAGTAGCTGTCAATGAATGCCATCCATTTAACCCTTTGCTCTACAAAGAAGGTGGCAGTCTGGACTAGTTTGGTAAAGAAAGCCTCTCCGGACAGCAAACCCAAAGCCCGCAGAGAGGATGATTCCAGCACCTCTACATTGCCGGTAAGAAAAAGTTCCAAAGATGCCACAGATTTCACATGTGGAGCTCAACCAATTAAACAGGGGAATGTGGGTGGGTGTGGCACCTGTTAACTTAGCCAGAAACCCGTAGTTCAGGGGAATTGGTGGCAAAGGGAGGCACACACAGCCGGGAGGAAACATGGTCAATAACAAAGGGAAATAAGTTCCATACAAATTCTAAAAATCAACTCAGCAGAGAGGCCCTCAAATTTCAGAGAAATTCCTGACAAGCCCCTTGCATAGTTGTCGGAATGTCCTTGAAGACGAGTATACACAATGCCAGAACATCTGATAATTCAGGGGGCACCTTCAGGCAGCCACACTACTGTTCTGGTCCTCAGAGCTCCAAACAACTAACTGAAATTCTCCTTGTCCAGCCCAGCACTTTGGCATTGAGCCAACAAAGCCCAATTTAAGGCTACGGAAACTGTGGATCTATGAACCTACAAAATTTCGCGTCTTAAAAATGGTTTTGGATCTTTGGATGTTTCTGGACTCCCATAGTGAAAAACTATTACTGTTTGTAAACTCCAGAGATCAAATAGTGCCTTCCTGATCAACACAGTGGAATTTCTTTTTCACAAAAATAACAAAAACAGCTGACCTCCAATTAACCACTGCCCATCCAGCGGCCCCTGTTCTCTGGTTTCTTTCTCAGACTATGTTAATGTAGAGACAGCATGTGGCCTCACCTACCATCCACCCGATGACCCCATGTCTCTGCTGACAACTATGAATTCAAGTCTTTGGAAAACGTAAAGACAACTTACTCGAATTAAAGTAAGAGAAAGCTTGTCCTCTGTCCCTTAAAATAACTCTACATCTCCACCTTTTCCCATGGGCAGGAACGTTAACCCAATCCTCGTTGGGGGCCAGCTCTGCCCAGGAAGCAGAGCTTAAACATTTCGGACAGGTGATCAGGAGCTCTCCTGTTTTTTCACCTTCACCATGTAACTAGCAGTCATTTAAAATCAAATGTAGTTTTTTCCTTTTATAATATTCCAAAGTCTGTTATAGGCGCCACTAACTTCCCAAACAACCCTAAAATGGATTTCTATTTGGGAACTGTGGCACCTGAGCATGTATATAAAGTAGGACAGAATGACACGCTTTGGACTCTCAGGTGATGGTAACAGGACAGTCACAACTGGAATTCTTGAGAAGCCCAGCTGCTCCAGTGTTAAGTTTTGTCCACTAATCCCCAGATCCGTCCTGGGAACCTTTATTGAAGACTTCATCCTGCGAAGCTGGGTGATCGATCCCTTCATAAAATGAGCCACCGTTGTGAAGGAAAGTCCCCACGGCCCGTCCCTGCCGGGCGTGGCCCACGGCGTCACTGAACACTTTGTTGATCTGCTCCTCGGAGGGCATCCACCAGTCAGGGTTGGAGGTACAATGCATCCTAATGAATTCTGCAGGAACACACACGAGAGTAAAAAGAGAGAGACAACAGCTGGTTTTTGCAGAAGATGATAGCAAAGGCTGCTTAAACGTCTCAACAGAAGCTCTATCAGAAACGCTTTATGGGGAACCCAATGCAATGCCATGATGATGTCACTTGTTCAACCCAACTTACTCCGTACCAGTTTTCTTCTCATGCACAAAAGTAAAAATTGCCTGAGTGACAACAGTCCCTCTAAGGAACAGTTACCACCGAAATGAAAGGTACATTTGATGCACCTTGTCAGTAAAAGGGTAGATTTCAAACCCACATTGTTACCTCTCACATCTGAGAATGTTACACTCTCCAGAAACATGCCAAATAGCATTAGCACAGTATCCCTCAACCAGCTACTAAAGACTGGGTAAGCAAAGGAACAGTGTCTCAGTGAGCGAGAAGGTGTCTTAGTGTTAGTTCAGAAAAGCTACCCATGCCCTTAAAGCACTGCATGCCAGGCTATGCTTATTTCTTCTGTTATTTCACCAGAAAGTAATTAGCATGCCTGGAAGAGGGAATAGTTTCAGCTGCCTCCAGCACAGCCTCTCAGCATCTCCTACCTATGTGTTCTCCACCTAAGGGCTAAATGGAGGCCCGTGGTGGGTTGGGGCCCCCAGGGAGAACCAAGCTGGGGACTGCAGAGTCTGGGTGGGCAGCCCGGTCTGCTTGTTGCTCCAGCAGTGTTCCAAAGGAACTGGCGCTGGTTCTTTGGGATGTATTTT